AAATAAATAAATAAATAATAATAATATTTTATATGTTCTTGATTTGGGTTGTAGCTACACGATTAATAATTAGTTCTGTCATGTGGATTAAATTCTTTGAATAAAGAATGATATAGGTATGTTCTTTTAGTTAACGACCTACATTTGAATTCCGAGGTTTTTCAAATTGCCAAATTCACTTTTCTTTGCCTGCAATACGGTCTTCTGTTTTTGTGGGTTGAAGTTGCATTCCAGCCATTCTATTTGTTAAATAATGTATGAATATTGAAATAGAGTGTCCAATTATTATATAATGGTCTTAGTAACAATATTTGCAGCTTTTCTTTAAGAATAAAGCAGCTGATTTGATGTCATCTGGATTTTGAAAGTTTTCTTTCCAAGGCATGTAAAGATTGTAAAATAATCCTTTTGATGCTGTATTTAGGTGCTTCTGAGTCGATTGAGATTGTTCTTGAATCCTGGCTATCCTTATGAGGAAATTTTAAAAACATTTCACAACCAGACTGGCATATTTTTGTGCTCCTTCCTTCCGGATTTTACTACATTTAACAGAACTAAAGGTAATCAATCTTGCCTCATTGCCGTGATTGGAAAACTAAATATTTCAATGCCCCCAGGTTTTTAATTTCTAAGTTGGGGGACCTTTTACAGGAGGCATGATCCAGTTAAACCATGGAGCACCTCAACCTCTTCAGTATGTAGTCAATGCAGCATTTTTGGCTACAGTGTTCAGTGACTATCTTGATGCTGCCGACACACCTGGGTGGTACTGTGGACCCCATTTCTACCAAACTAGCGCTCTCCGAAAATTTGCTGAGACCCAGGTGAAATATATGTTGCCTTCTCATAAGAGCGGAATTGAATTAGTCGGTGATTATTTACATTGTTTTTTGTCTTTACTTTTCAGATAAACTACATCCTCGGCAAAAATCCTAGAAAGATGAGCTACGTTGTGGGCTTTGGAAATCACTATCCAAAACACGTCCACCATAGAGGTGCATCCATACCCAAGAACAAGGTCAAATATAACTGTAAGGGTGGATGGAAATGGAGGGATTCAAAAAAGCCAAACCCTAATACCATTGTTGGGGCCATGGTTGCTGGTCCTGACAGACGTGATGGATTCCACGATGTTCGAACAAACTACAACTATACAGAGCCGACCCTTGCAGGAAATGCTGGTCTAGTTGCTGCACTTGTTGCCCTATCCGGAGATAGGACCACAAAAATTGACAAGAACACGATATTCTCTTCAGTACCACCAATGTTCCCCACACCTCCACCACCTCCAGCTCCTTGGAAACCATGAGTCGCCATTATGGACTCGTGTCTTATTGTTTTTGCTTTTGCTTTGTGACTCAGAAAACTAATTTTGGTGTTGCAGTTAATTTCTAAAGTATCCCGAGTACAGAAACTAGGAGTTTGAAGAGCTGCTGGGATAGGACTGGAAAGTTGGTCTAACTTGAAGAAATACCCTTTTCTATTCAAAATTTGTGATATACACTGTGTATGTATGTATGTATCATATCAGCTATATATTCATTTCCACGCTAGAACTTGAACGTGAGGGATCGAGTTTTAGAATAAATTCAGATGACGTCTAACATGTTATCACTCATTTCAAAACACAAATTTCATCTCATTTTCAAACATTTATACCATGCTTATATGCAACTTTTCGTTATGATCGTCTTGTAGGGTGCTTTTGGATCCATCATGTTTCTTGTAATACAATTCCAGCAATTCAATAAGTTTTGAGAAATATATTCATTGTGACATATAACAAAACTTTTCGTTTACTTCAGTTCTATATCTTCAACGACTACAACAAAATTTATATTAATAAGTAACATGTTACTATTGATCAATTTACTCTTTATATTAAGTCCCTATTTGATAGTCATTATTTCGAAAAAAATAATGTTTTAAATAGTGATTTTTAAGAGAATGTGTGATTAAAATATAGAAAAATGTTTTGAATTTATATGCAGAATATTTTGTTGTGTAAATATGTAGTTGAAAATGAGTGTGTAGAAAAAAGTTTTCAAATAATGGTTATTCAAAATGGGCTAAAATGTACTGAAAAAATGAAAAAGATTGCTTCAATTATATTTCCTAGAATGAGTGATATGTGAAAAGGTCGTTTAATGATCCCAAGCCCT